TGGAAGAAATAAGAGAGAGACTACCTAACAACACAATGTGAAGAAAGAACGAGAAAAGGCAAATCGTCATCCTGGATAAGATGATGCAGTTGAAGGAAAGTGAGGAGAACACTATGGACAATTCCCAAGGAAAATATAAATTCCAAAAGTGCATTTCAGGAGAGAGTGCACGACAGGCGGAGCTGGGGAAAGCTCAGAGCGGGACTGGGCCATCTGCTGTCATCCCTTTTAGTCCACGTTGTTGTGAAAGTTCTAGACTTGGAAATGTGATAAAGGAAAAAAAGAGGCATATCTGTCACAGAGGAGAAATGAAAAATATTATTATTGGGGATAATATGATTCTCTACCTGGAAAATTCGAAGGAAGCAATTGAAAACCCACAAAAACTATTATGAGTTAAAAAAAAAAGCTTACAAAATAAATATGCTGAAAGTTTATTGCTTTCCTACTTGTAAACAATAACCATTTGGAAAACAAAAAAGAAAAAAATGTCAAAATCACAGTAGCATAAAAAAGGATCCCTCAGGTAATACTAAATGAGAGATGTGTAGGATCTATGGAAAAAATTAAAGACATGAAACAAGATTTTAACAAGAGGACACCCTGTTCCTGATAGACTCATTCTTGTAAAGTGCCAATTATCTTGAGTTTAATTTCTAAATTTAAGACAATTTCAGTCAAAGTCCCAATAAATTTTTTGGGGGGAGGATTGAATAAATATAATTCTAAAAGATTCCACTAGTGTTTTTAAAGGCCTGATAAATTGATTCTAAAGTTCACTTGGAATAAACGTGGAGTGATTGCCAAGAAAATGGTGAAAATAAGACTAATGAGGATTTTCCTGCCAAGATACCACATATTATAAAGCTACTATCATTAAAACCTGTGTTACTGCACTGCAGATCGGTGGAACAGGACAGACCCCTGTTTGTGTAATTATTTATCGTATAATAAAGTTGGCATTTGGAATCAGTGGGGAAGGGATGAGTTATTCAATAAAAGATGCTGGGACAGTTGCCTGTTTGGGAAAAAAAGGCAAATTAGATTCCCATTTCATATTAGATACCATTAAATTACAGGGGATACTCCTATTCTTACTTTTATTCTTAATTGTTAATATACACGTTTAAACGTAATATTCTATATAGAGTTTCCCAGTATCGATAATCTCAAGGAGTAAGACAAGACCTTTAGCACATTTCGATTATACAGCCCTTCGCCCACCCCCATTCCTTATGACTTAGGTTCCCCCTTCTTCCTTCTGCTGCTTCCTTCACCACTGTTTCTTATGCCTCTTTTATTCGTTTTTTGGTTGTTATTTTTCGGGGTGTATATTCTCTAGTACTTCTTTTGTGGGAAGTGGATTTTCTAAGTCCTTGTATTCTGGAAATGTCTTTATTTTGTATCTTCATTTGAATGTTAGTTTGGTTGTGTATGAAGTCTTAGGCTCAAATGAATTTTCTAAACCTTTGAAGATATTGCTCCATCATATTCTAGAATTCGGAGTTGCAGATTAGAAATCTGATGTGAAAATTATTTTTCTTCCTTTGTCAGTAATCTTTCTCCTCCCCTCTTCCTCCTCCTGTTAGACACATTAGAATGTTTCAAAGCCTTGCTGTCCTCACCATCAGTCTTTTGCTCATTCATACCTGTTGACTCTTGATAGTTTCTTTCAATTTAATGATTCAAATTCTTCTTAATCGTTAGGGAATTTTCATCTATTTTCTTTGATTACACCTTCTTTACCATTCTCTCTGTTCTCTCCTGAACCTCTTTTTAGATGGATGTTAGAATTTTTGGATCTATCATATATGGTTTATATCATTTGTTTTATTCTTGCACTTTTTGCAGAATTCTGGGAAAAATCCCTCAATTTAGATTTCTAGTTTGCTAAGTTCCTCTTTAGCTGTGCCCATTCTGTTATCAGTCCAACTATTGAGTTCCCAATTTTGGCAATCATATTTTTCATTCCCCAACTTCTGTTTTTCTTTGACTCTTTGTTTTGTTTCAAAATGGAAGGAGGCTTATTTTTCCTGATTATATAACTAATATGTGTGCATTGTAAAAATTTCAAACAATGTAGAAAAATGTAAGGTTGAAAGTAGAAATAATCTGCAATCCTGCCAGAGATAACCATCACTGGCATTTTTTGACCACTGCTCGTCTATTTCTCCCAGAATCCACAGACATATAGGCACAGAGGGACACACACACGTGCGCTATTTGACACAAACATCTTTCTACAAAGCATATATTCCTTATAAAGTACAGTAAATGTTGAAACAGAAGAGGGAGTAAGTAAAGGAGAAAGAATTTGTTCCCTTTGGACCTCTTCTTGATTCCAAAACATGAAGGTTTTAAAATAATTTTATATTATATTATGTAAGATACTAAACGTATATAAAAGTAGACAGGTTAGTATAATGAGTCCTCATGTGTCCATGACCCAGGTTCAGTAATGATCAGTCATGACTAATTTTTTTTCCATCTATAACCTTTCCCTTTCCATCCCTTTCCTTTCATACTGAATTATTTTGAATTGAATCCTTTTATCCATAAAGATTATAGGATGTCTCCTCAAAGGTAAGGATTCTTTAACAAAAATAACCACAATACCATTATCATACCAAAAAATTATAATTCTTTAGTATCAATAACAAGAATTCTGTCATCTCATCAAACAGTGTGTATATCCATTTTCCTGATTGTATCACCATTTTTTTAAACTATTAGTTTATTTAAATTAGAATCCAGACAGGTCTCCATATTGCATTTAGTTGATAAGTTTCTGAAATCTCTTTGAATCTGTAAGTGTCTCCTCTGCCCTGCTTTTTTTCTCTTGCAGTTTTATTTTCATTTTTGTTCTTTGTTTTGAGCAGTTTTAGGTTTACAGAAAAATTGGTTGGAAAGCACAAAGAGTTCCCGTAAACTCCCTGAACCCTATTCCCGTCCTGTCCCCCCGTTATTAACATTTTGCAAGGAAATAAGTCAGACAGAGAAAGACAAATACCATATGATCTCACTTATATGTGGAACCTAAAAAACAAAACAAAGCAACCTGGAACTCACAGATACAGAGAACAAACTGACTGTTGCCAGAGGCAGGGCGTAAGGAGTGGGCAAAATCATGCAGGTGGTCAAAATAAACTAAATAAGTGCCGGGGATATAATGTACAGTGTGGACTATAGTTAAGAGTACTGTATTTTATATTTGAAAGTTGCTAGGAGGGTAAATATTAAAAGATCTCCGGGGCTGGCCCTGTGGTATAGTGGTTAAGTTCGGCGTGCTCAGCTTTGGTGGCCTGGGTTCACAGGTTCAGATCCCAGGACCTACACCACTTGTCAGCCATGCTGTGGTGGCATCCCACATACAAAATAGAGGAAGATTGGCACAGATGTTAGCTCAGGGACAATCTTCCTCAAGCAAAAAAAGAGGGAGATTGGCAAAAGATGTTAGCTCAGGGCGAATCTTCCTCAGGAAAAAAAAAAAATCACGAGAAAAAATTTGTAGCTATGTGTGGTGATGGATGTTAACTAGGCTGACTGTGGTGATCATTTTGCAGTATATACATGTATCAGATCATTAGGTTGTACACCTGAAACGAATAGAATATGTCAGTTATATCTAAAAAAAAAGAAATAGTATCTGCCTTATAGTGTTGTTATGAGTGGTAAGTAAATTAATATATGTAAAGCACTTAAAAAATCTTGCATTACTCTGGTACATTTGTTACAGTTGACGAGCTGATACTGATACATTGTTATTAACTAAAAGCCATGGTGTATATTGGGTTCACTCTTTGTGTTGTACATTCTATAAATGTGTCCACCATTATGATATCATACAGAGTAGTTTGCCCTGTCCTCTTGCAGTTTGTTTATTGAAGAAGCTATTTGGTCATTTTGTAGTTTTCCACATTCTGGTGTATTAAAAAAAATTTTTTTTCCTGGTTGCCTCCCTTGTGGTGTCATTTAGTATGCACCTCTGTCACTTGTATTTTCTGTAAATTGGTCGTTGGATCAAGATGCTTGAATTGATTCAGGTTTGATTATTTTGGCAAGAGTCCTTCCCTGGTGGTCGAGTACTTTGTAGTACTTCCATCGATAGGCAGGCAGTGTCTTCCTGTGATGTTAGCAGCCATCAATGATTGTTGCCCTCATCCATTGTATCACTAGGGAAGCCTAGCTTTCCTGTTCTGTTTTCATTTACTGAGCATGTACTTTAGAAAGACGCTGAGCTGGGCCCTACAACATGATGCCCGTCTTCCACAAACCCACCGTCTAGAGTTTGGATAAGTTGATTTGAACCACAAAACTGTAAAAGAAGATTGGAACATCAAAAAAAAATCAGATTTATTTTGTATATATTCTCTGACTACCCCTCCCCCCAAGTGATAAAATCCCCAAATAGCAGAGCCATATCATAGATGCGTTTTAACTCATACGAATAAATATATATTCAAGCATATACGTGTTTGGTTGCAAACTACTAAAGTAACAACGTAAACATTGCAGCCTGTTTCTTCCCCTCTTCCACATAATTGACGTTGCTCCTGGGTGAGATGGGGGCATGGGCCTGCCATTCCTGCTCTCTCTGTCTCTGCATGCCCTTCATATTATGCACATCTCTTTTAAGTGTGATTCTCGTGTTTAAATATACATATTTCTTATGCATTATGGACCTAAACATAAGCCAACTACTTCATATGGTGTTCCATCTAAGAAACAACGTTCTGTTCCAAAACCAGGCAACCTAAGAAATTTCCAAGGGAGTGTAATTTTGAGCAAATGTGATCTTTTGAACCCTAGTTAACTTTAGTAGCTTAACTCATTTGCACGATGCAGGATCGGGGTACCCCAGAGTTCGACGTCAACAGAGGACAAGGTGCGGATACTGAAGGCATTGTTTATTTTGGTATGAAATCTTTACTTGTCTTAATCTTTTACTTGTCCAGTTTTAACAATCTCTTCCTCTCCTTCCCTCTCTTCCCCCCTTCTAGTCTGCTGTTTTGTCGTGCACAAGCGGTGCCATGAATTTGTCACTTTCTCCTGCCCAGGCGCGGACAAGGGCCCAGCCTCTGATGTAAGTAACGGGCACTGGTCACCTCTCTCTGTCCACAGCTGATGCATCCTTTTGGGTAAATGTGAGTGAGTATGCTGTGACAAAAAAGTCAGGGTGTTCTCATTCCAAGGCATGTGATGGTCCCTATAGCCTCTGAGATGTTTTTTCATTTTAATGAGCAAAAATAGTGAAACGCTTTGAGAGTTGGAGCGTGACTATACAGGAAACACCTAGTTCCCCTACTACGATTTTGCTAAATGTCTTCATCTTTACAGCTGGGGCATGGAGAGTGGTGGGCAGGGGCTAAATTGTTGCTACTGTAGAAAGGCAGTTAGGATGGTACCTTACAATGCACTTTACCTATAGCTTTTTTGTTAGGCAATTCTTGATACCAGGGCCCAAAAATTAGGGGGAAATGATTTTCTCCTGCAACTGTGCATCCCAAAGTATGACTACCGCTGGTGGGACAAGAGATGCTTCTAGGTAAAACAGGCAAATAATTTTTGTTTTAATAATTATGAATTTATTTTAATATGGATTGGAAAAATGTATCTAGTAGTGATTTTGCGTTTATAGTAGGGATATAAAATTTCCTACCTACATAAAAGTATTTAGGTTAAACAAGGTTAGATTGATTTAAGGAAGATATTAAGTGAGTGACAGGATGGGTGCTGTAAAGATATGGTAAAAGTCTTGTACACATCTATCTAAAGTTTGGGGTATGTTGTTGATTGCGTACCCAACACCCATTCATGGCTCTCACTCTCTGCTTTCTGGAAGAGGCCACCTTTTATGCTTGAGGCTGAAAATGGCTGATACTTGCTTTCATAGGCTCCCTTATAGCTGATGAATGAGCAGCTGACCCACTTCTGCTCAGTGGGACTTCAAGGGAAGTCTGAGGAGGGCTTCCAGGAAAGACTTTCCTTTCTGATAAGAGAAGACATCCCTTCCTTTGTCCTGTTGGGCATTTTTGTGTGAGGATATAATGCTTGGAGTTGTGGCAGCCCTTTTGGGTCAATGAGGGAGACACGGCGGACATCCTGAGCTTGACGTAGTGGAAGAGTTGAAGAAACCTGGGTCATTGATGACACTGACGAGCTGCTGAGCCCACTCTGCAGACTGAGTATGTGAGATAAGAAGCTCCTTTGATAAAGTCTCATTGTTTGGGGTGTTCTTTTACATGTAGGTAAAACTGTCCTGCTAGAACCTTCCACCATGCACACTCTTCCATTGCCCAGTAGTGAACTGCATACCCTATGTGCAGCATACCCTATGTTCAGCATACCCTATGTGCAGCATACCCTATGTGCAGCCATGCATACCCTATGTTCAGCATACCCTGTGTTCAGCATACCCTATGTTCAGCATACCCTATGTACAGCATACCCTATGTGCAGCCATGCATACCCTATGTTCAGCATACCCTATGTTCAGCATACCCTATGTGCAGCATACCCTATGTGCAACCATGCATACCCTATGTTCAGCATACCCTATGTGCAGCCATGCATACCCTATGTGCAGCATACCCTACGTGCAGCATACCCTATGTGCAGCATACCCTATGTGCAACCATGCATACCCTATGTTCAGCATACCCTATATGCAGCCATGCATACCCTATGTGCAGCGTACCCTATGTGCAGCATACCCTATGTGCAGCATACCCTATGTGCAGCCATGCATACCCTATGTACAGCCATCTCCCCTGGTTCTCTTACTTTGTTCCTGCGTTGGTTCACTTTCCTGGAGTCTTTCCCATTGGCTTTGTCTCCATTACTGGTCCTGTTCTTACCCACTTCGACTTGACAGCTGACCTCAGCTTACTAGAAGTGAGTGGTGACTACCTTCTGTCATTGCATTTGTTCCACTCTTGCTGGCCTGCTACAAGTGGTCATCTGCCATTTTGCGGCAAATCAGGGACGTATCTGTCACCACAGCAACGCGAACGCTGGAGCTTATGCTGCAGTTACCTTGCTTGGAAACTGTGGCACTTGGGTTGAGGAACTCCAAGCAACATGGAACAACCAAAGCCCTTGCAGGCCTGTGTGCAAAGATGAAGACAGGACCGTTTGTCGCACCCTCTCAGATCACACTCCCTGGCCCTTTCAGTGTAATTCCTTCTCTCGTCCCCAGGAAGGCAGGCGGGAAGTTTGTGGGGACAGCCTGGCTCCATTACGCAGCTCTGAATGTTCGTGCAGACCAAGGCTTTATGCTCAGGGAGCAGCCGACAGGATGTTTCCCATATCCTGTCTATGTTCGTTGACTTTTTCTGTTGCCTAAGACAGAAACTCAGCTGAAACTGGCTTATGTGAAAAGGGAAATTTTTGGTTCCTGAAATGGAAAAGCTCAAGAATAGCCCTGGCTTCAGGCACAGAGAATCAAGGTGCTGAAATCAGGTCCTCAGGAATCTCTCTCCATTTCTTGGCTCAGCTTTCCTCTGTCTGGGTGTCAGCTTCAGGAAGGCGTTTCTCCTGTGGGAGCACCATAGCTGCTGCACCCTTGTCTTATGTCTTATAGGCCTGCAACTCCAGTGACAAGAGCTAAGGTCTCATTGGGCCATGGGTCAGTTGCAGCCTGAAGGATGGTTCTGCTGATTGGCATAACCTGGTTATGTGCCTACTCCTGGCAAGGAGGGCCCGTGCATCACCCCATGATTTGAGACTGGGGGAGAGTTGGTCCCTCCCTCAGGAAAACTAGAGAAGCAGCACTGTGTCCTGGTTAAAATCATAGACTATGGAGCTGGCATTCCTAGGCTTACGTTCCTGTGACCTTGGGCAAAGTACTTAAATCTCTTTGTGCCTTAGATCCCTTCACGGAAAAATGGATAAAATCATAGTCCCTGCCTTATGGCATTGTTATGAGTATCCAACATATAAATATCTGTGAAAGTACTTAGTACCATTCATAGGAAGAGCTATGTGGATGATGATGACAATGATAATCAATAATCGTGAATACATGCAGGCAGCAAGGATCAATGTCTACAAAGCAAGTCTGAAGAATGAGCAGGTCCTCTGCCCGTCACCTGGCAGTCCTTCCTAGGAGTGTGTAGGCTCCATAAGTGGTAGGAGACCCCTCTCTGGATGAATGGACCAGTGCAGCCATTCATTACCTTGGGCATGGGGACAGCAGGAAGCACTACCTTGCAGCTGGCATGCAAAGGATTTGGCAGCCTACCTGGAATGATTCTAACTCTGGACACAGTTCCAAGAAGGTCAGTTGGCACCAAGGATGATGAATTGATCCAGACTCCTGAACTGACTTGACTCAGTTCACTGACCTTTCTCTGTCCATGGTTGGAGGCATGATTAAAGATCTGGCCACACCTGTTCACCAACCTGGCCAGGCTCTCTTTTGACTGCCCCTGAGGCTCGTGTGGGTATGGAGGAGTGCCCTCCTCCTGTGTGACCTTGGAGGAGCTGTTGTGCGGCAGGCTCATGGAGCAGAAAAGCACAGGCTCTGTCCTCTATCCTCTGCTATTCCAAGTGCAGTTTGAACCAGGGAATATTCTGGATAATAGTAGAACTTTGTGTATTTGGCATTCTTCTACAGATAGGTCCACTTCATGACATTAGGCTGCTTTAGGGAACTTTATGAACTGGCCACTGTCCCAGTGAACCCAACTACTGACCCAACCATTCAATGCCACTGGGAATAGACAACATAGATGGGCACCCACCATTGGAGGACCTCAAAACATGGCAGAGTTCCTGGGTGGTACTTCTAGTCATTTACAGGCATCCTACTGGTTCTTGGTCTCACCTCGTGGAAACCCTCAATTCTGCTGTCTCTCAGACCTCTTAGAGAGACCAAGTCTCTGAGATTGCCGTAAGCATTACGTATGGACATTTATAGATTAGTCAGCACTTAGAATACTGACCACGTACACAGCCTCCTGACAGATCTTCTCAGAACAAGAAAGAGAGGAGTTATGTCTGAGAACTGGGACTAGGGTGGGTGAAGTGAAGTACTTGCCCAGGGCACAGAATTTAAGGGGTTCTTGCCTGTGTTTGTGGATATATGCTGGCTGGTCTAGGATGGCCCCACTCACATGACTGGCAGTGAGCAGGTTGTTGGCCTGGGTGCCTAGGTCCTCCTCCATGTGGCCTCTCATTCTCCAGCTGGCTAGCTCTGGCTTGTTCACATGGTGGTTTCAGGGTTCCAAGAAGAGCAAGAGAGCATGCCCCAGTGCATGTGTGCCTTTTCAGGCTGTGCGTCCTGTCTGATACTGTCCCACTGGACAAAGTAGTCTCGTGGCCAAGCCCAGATTCAAGTGGTTGAGAAATAGACTCTACTCTTCATGGGAGGGGAAGAATCTCTGGTCAATCTACTGCAGATACTGTTGATCCAAGGGCCACTGCAGAACAGAACCCTTGGAGACCCTCCCACTAGACTTCATAAAAGATCCATAGGTCATTGTGTGGTTCAGAGAGTCATAGGTGGCCTCATTAAGAGACGGTACCTCATTTATTCCCTGCTCCCGGTCCCCGGCTGACCCAGCCATCTCCAGCTACAAATGGGAAGTAGGCAATTTATCAATCGTGCCCAAAGACAATGACAGTTAAGATTATGGACTCCGAAGTCAAACATACCTGAATTCAGGGCCTAACTCTGCCAGTGACCATTAGGGAAACTTGGGTGTGTCACTTACCCTCTGTGTGGCCCAGTTTCCTTATCTATAAAGTAGGATATTAGTACTAACCACATAGGTTTATTGTAATAACAAAAAAACAATCCTTAAAATGAAAAAGGGTGAATAAGAAAATAAAAATAAAAGGAACAAAAAGCCATTGCATGAAAGTGCTTAGCACAGAGCCTGCGACATAGTAAGCCCTTGATACAAGTAGCTGAGGGCGTTTTGACCTCTCCACCTCTCTCCCCAATCGCGAATGTACTGAGGATTCTCTGCACTCCTCCACCCGAGCATGCCTGGTGAGGTAATCACTGTTTTCCATTTCTGTTACTTTACACAAAACCTCAAATGCTGTGGTGCGATGCTGAGAAAAGAGCTAGGACTT